CCCGTCTAAAAAATAAATAAATAAAATATCATAAGCACTAAGCCAATCACATAATTCATGTAAAAAAGGACCCCATAAATTAATGAAAAACCAAATTCATTTTAGAAATTTTTAGTGGAATACTTGTCTCTTGGAAGTCCTGTGCTGGGACTAAAGGTTATTTTTAAAGAGTTACTTATTTGATTTAGGAGCTAGAGAGATGGCTCGGTGGTTAAGAGCACTGACTGCTCTTGTAGAGGACCCGGGTTCGATTCCCAGCACCCACATGGCAGCTACGAACTGTCCTTAACTCCAGTTCCAGGGGAAATCAAAGCCCTTTTCTGACCTCCGTGGCATTGCATGACACGGGTGCACTCACATACTTGCAGGCAATACACATAAAATAAAAATAATAAATAAAATATTTTTAAAAAATAGTTACTTATTTGATTTAATATGAATGTTTATCTGCATGTATATAAATGCACCACATGCATGCAGTGCCTGAAAAGACCACAAGAGGGTTTCAGATCCTTCTGGAACTGGAGTTGCTGATAGTTGCTAGATGCCATGTGGGTGCTGAGAACTGAACCTGGGTCATCTGCAAGGGCAGCCAGTGCTCCTAACTGCTGAGCCATCTCTCTAGCCCCTGTTTTTTGTTTTTTGAGACAGGGTCTCCTGATGTAGCCCAGGTTAGCCTGAACTAGTGACACTCCTGCCTTGGCCTCCCATGTTCTGGGATCCCAGCACCCAGCTTTGACCTTGAGCTCTTTAAGGATTATTAGTGTTACCACATCTTCTCCCATTCAGTGGTTTGCCTTCCCACTTTCTCACTAATGTTTTCTGATGAGGAGAAGTTCTCAAATTTAAGCAATTTAAAGTCCAGACTAAACCTTTCCTTTTATGGATAGTGATTTTCATGTCTTGTTCAGTAAATTTTTCTCCACACCCCAACGTGGTGAAGAAATACTTGTATGACATTTTACTTTGTTATGTTAGGCATGGAGTCAGTACATGTGAATGTCGGGAGATAGAGTCCATTATCATTATAGAAAACTCACTTTCTCCCACTTTACAAAAACACCATGTTATGAATAAAATGTCCACAGATTCTTATGGATCTGCTGAATTCTCAATTTTGAACTAGTTGTCTGTCTTGCTCCAGTTCCATACAGCACCTGCAGTCCTTCTCACTTTATTTCCAAATGAGGAAACTGAGGCATGGAGAAGTTAAAGAGCTTGCCTAAGTAAATATGCCATTTACTGGGGTTCTAGTTTGCTCTCTATTTCTGTGATAGAACACTCTGACCAAAAACAACTTGGGAAAGAAAGGGTTTATTGTATCTTACACTTCCAAGTTACAGTCCATCATTAAGGGAAGTTAAGGCAAGAACCTGGAGGTAGGCGCTGAAGCAGAGACCACGGAGGAATGCTGCTTACAGGCTTGCTTGGCTACCTTTCTTATATAGAGTGGATTGTGCCCTCCTACATCAATTAACAATTAAGAAAATGCCTCACAGACATGGCCACAGGGTGATCCAATACAGGAAATTCTTCAATGGTGCTCTCTTCCCAAATGACTCTAGTTTGTGTTGCCAAAAACTAACCAGCACAACTGGTTAATGGCAGATCTGGAAACGCCTGGTTTTATGCTCGGTGCTTTCAAAAAGCTTACTGGATTCTCAACCTGAGTAGTTGAAAGTCACTAACTGAATACAGGTTTGAGTGCAATCTTAGAAACTGGCCCTTGGCCACTGCCCTAAAGACAAGAAACTCCAATGAAACCGCCGCTTTCCCAGTCCTACCACTAGAGGGCATGAGTAGCTTAAAGTCGCCACGCCAATCCCGCCCTCTGTGTGGTGACATTTCCAGGAATCATCTAATCCTTGCACAAAGCGCAGGGACAAGCAAAGCGGAAAGTTACATCCTTCAGTCTCTACAGAGGATTTTGACCAAAAAAAACCAAAACAGGAATGATGTATTTTAATGATCTTCACGGAAGAAGCCGCATGTGATGGTGCATGCCTTTAGTCCCAGCACTTGGGAGGCAAAGGCAGGTGGATCTCTGTGAGTTTGAGTCCAGCCTGGTCTACATAGTGAGTTCCAGGCCAGCTGGGGCTACAGGGAGACCCTGTCTCAAAAAAAAAAAGAAAAAAAAAAATTCAGGAAAGAAAGCACCCATTTCCTAGCGGATCTGTCTCATCCTTAAATCACCTAAGTCTCCCCTTAGGTTCTTCTTTCCCTCTGGCTTTAGTGGCATTCGTGTAGCAAGCAACCTGCAAGGTGCTTGTAAACAGGGAGGTGAGGTGTGGAGCTATGAGGTGGCGGAAACAAGACTTGAATTTTCCACTTCTCCAGCCATGTACAGCTTTGTTTTTACCTAAAATCCCAAAGTGGACTTTGTCCTTCAGTATTCTTTCCAGTGCCAGACTGACTTCCTGGTTCTGAATGTTGCCCAGGTAATATCACCCAGGCACTAGGCAGCTGTTTGGTAAAATGATTCATCCTTATCAACTTGATAACACAAGCTACACAGAACAAAGACAATGACACAGCAAGCAACATGGAACCACCCAGTGTTTCAAGTCTAAGAGGGCCGTATTGCCCCTCTGTCTTGATTGAAACTGTTCAGCTTGGATGTTTACGGACAGTATCCATGAGAAATAACTGAGTTGTTAGGCTTATCTTTGCTTTTTATTATTACTATAATTTTGAGGGCTTAAAAAATGAATACAAATCTTATTCACTTGATCACTTCTATGTAAGAATCAGGGCCAGGCAAGACAAAATTGTGAACACAGATCCTGCTGTTCAGAATAGCAGCTGCTAGTGTGGTGTAAGCACTCATTATGTCCAAGGATCTATTACCATCCCTACTGCATTTATTAAGAAGGTGAGGAACAGAGTGGCCACCTAGCTTATCCAAGGTCACAGAGAATAAAAACAACAAGAATTTGAGCTCAGCCACTACAAGAAGTCAGCCTTTACCACCCCACTGCACTTCCTCTGGTGACAGCCTAATGAGTAGGAAGGGACAAGTCACATTTATCATCCAGCAAATATTTGCTGACTACTTACACGTCAGGCACCAGAGTAAATATTGGGAATACACAAATAAAATAGCCCAGTCTGTCCTCACAGAGTTCACAGTTTATAGATACAGTGTTATGGGAGTTCAGAGAAGAAAAAGTGAAGAGTCATCACCTTTGAGACTATTTAAGAAAGAACCACCTCCTTACTTTCCCTATTCTGTTCCTAGCAAGCCATCAGTCTTGTGGGGACCAGAGGAGGTAGACAAGGAGGGAAGTAATGCCTCAAAAGAAATGTAATGGCAGGCATCAGAAGAGGCCTTTGCAGAAGAGATTTAAAAAGGGGGTTAGGGTCAAGCCAGGTGCAGTAGTGTACACCTTTAATCCCAGCACTCCAGAGTCACAGGCAAGTGGATCTCTGTGAGTTCAAGGCCAGCCTGGTCTACACAGTGAGACACTGTCTCAAACAAAGCAAAACAAAACAAAGCAAATGAAGGTCAGGGTAAGGCAAGAAGACTGGCACAGATCTTTAAGGAGCCTGCCAATCTGAGACGTTAGTCCCTTTGACTCATACAATCCTTCAGTGCTAGACCAGGGAGATGCAACTATAACTAAGCTACAGTCTGCACTCTTGCGCTAATAGGCCAGTGATCAGACAAAACACCAAACGAGATGGAACCCTATGTAGGCTGGGCCCAGGCAGCAAGAAGGTGACATCTGTCCTGAGCCACAGAGTAAACCAAAGTTAGAAAGGGTGGGACATGTGATCTATGCTGAAGGAACAGTGTGTAGGAAGCCCTGGAAATGAGAGAATGCCTAGGATTGCAATGACACCCTGGTTCAGAAAGTGGTGCCAATTAATGCCAGTAAATTGCTGACTAAATTGCTAAATTCCTTCACTGTGCTTTCCCAAGTTTGCCAAGGGTTCTGAGCATGGGATCAACATAAGAACAAATTGAAACAGTTCTCCACTGGCTAGCTCCAGAGCTCCAGCCTAACCAGGCCATTTTAGCCTATGCTCAACACCTTGCTGCAGTCAATCAGAACACCCTGTACTAGACTCTAGAAAAATCAGAAGGTTTCCCCCAAGGAGAGGTGAGGGGACAGTGCCCTCCATATCTCTGAATCCCACATGGAATTCAGTTCAATGCTTTGGGCACAATAACGCCACTGGAGCTACTAAACACAGAGAAGAGGAAAACAAATTAATTGAGGCCTTAATTATTACCTCAACTCAAATCCTCTGCAAACCCTGCCTCTGCTCCCAAGCCCACTTCTGCACTTCCTCACCCCAGGCTCTCTCTCTGTTCCATGCAAATGCCAGAATTCTCAGTACTGAAGGGTAGCTTCGTGGGTTGAAAGCAGAAGCTTTGGAAATCGGGAGAAACTGAATCGAATCTGACGAGCGTTATGATATTGAGCAATTCATTCAAACTGGAGCGCCCTAAGCTTGCTTCATCTGTAGAATAAGACTAAGAGGCACCTATTTCATTGGGATTTGTTGAACGAATGTAACCGGGTTGCACCGAGAAGAGAAAATAAGGCAGTCTCTATATGGAAATCACAGGGTAGCGTTCAGTGAACGGGAAGGGCCATAGGATGTATAGGATGCCGCTGGTGAGGTGATACAGGGAGGCCGCGTCAGCTCTGACAGTCACCACAACCCCTGCCTGCCCAGACAGCTCATTCCAGAAACAGGCCCTGGGCAGGACGCCTGTAAGGGATCCGGTGTCCGCCGAGACGCAGCCCACGCGGAGCCGACGAAGTGCCGGCCTGCGTCACTCGCTTGGCTCCCTGCTGCTCCCGGGCTGGACCACACATGGTGGGAACGTGAGGGGGCGGGGCCCGCGCCGCCTCCGGGCCAATGGTGCGGCGGGAGGCTCCCAGCCAATCACAGAGGCATTCCGGGACTCGAGGGGGCGGGACCTAGGAGAGGAGCGGCGAAGTCATAGGTCACTGGGCGGGTGGTGGGCGGAGCCCGCGGCACCTACAGGGGCGGAGCGGCGGTGGTGGTGGGCGCAGACAGCTCAGCGATGGCGGCGGCGTCTGTGGTGGTGGCGACGTCCGCTGCGCCGGCTATGGCTGTGGACGGCGGGTCCTCGGTGCACTGGTTCCGCAAGGGGCTGCGGCTCCACGACAACCCCTCGCTGCTGGCGGCCGTGCGCGGGGCGCGCTGCGTGCGCTGCGTCTACATCCTCGACCCGTGGTTCGCGGCCTCATCATCCGTGGGGATCAACCGATGGAGGTGAGGTGGACCCCGGGCTGCGGGCCGGAACGCTGAGGGCTCGAGTGGTGAAGCCGGGGCGGGAGCCCTGCGTCCCCAGTCTGCGGCCACCGCTGACAGCGCTTCCGCCTCGCGTGGCCCATTTCTCGGGCCCCGCGACACGCCTGGAGGCGCAGGTCATGACCCCCCCCATCCCGGGCAGACCAGACTCTCGAGCCCCAGAGACCGGAGATTGTCCTGGCCGCCGACCTGAGGTCGGTACCTGGCAGAATGGGGACGTCCGGGCCTTTTAGGGGTGTGCCCTGGGAGGGGCGAAAGGAGACGTGGTGTGAGGGCCGGGACCGCGCTGGGCCCCTGAAGGTCTTCCCTAAGCCTCGGGTTTGTTTGAATCCTCCCTTTTTCCCCATTTGGGCAGTCCTGGAGGTGTCTACCAATCCTGGCTTGGCATTAACCATAATTGTAAAGACCCCCAAAGGCATCTTCGGATGCTCCTTAATCCTTAAAAATTTTTTATTTAAATTTATTTATTGGGGCGGGGGGCGTGCTACGGCACGCATATGGAGGTCAGAGGGCAGTTTGTGGACGTCTCCTTCCACCGATCGAACAATCGAACTCGGGATGTCAGGCTTGGAGACACGTGCCTTTACCCACTGAATCTTCTCACTGGCCCTTTTAAAACGTTTATTAGAGAATCGCTTCACCTATCACCCCCCACCCCACGTCCTCTGTTCTGAAATGATTTTAGAGGACAGGTGGCCCATTCTAGATGAGACGTTTTGGAACTGATAAAAGGATAAGAAGCAAGAAAAACATGATATCAAGAGCCCCCACCCCTTCCGCATGACTTCCAGGAGGTGGAGTCCTTTCCCAACATCATGGGAAACAATTACTAGGTGGCTGGTGTATTTTCTCTGTAGCCAGTGTTCAAAAAGCAAAGAGTTGTGATATACTGTGTACCCATCACTCTTTTTAAATGCCTCCCAGCAGTCTCTTGGCTTGTTTGCATTGTGCAGAGGGATGTTTGCTTGTGGCCTTGTTGCACAGATAGGCAGGGTCATTCCCAGGAGACAGCGACTCTCAGCACCTCATTCTTTCCTCTCCAGGAGGAGTGTGTCCTGCTAGGTGAGAGAGTGCTTCTAGCAGCAGGTCTATTAAATGCCCCTGCCCCATTTATGCCAAGAGAACTAAAGATAGGTCTCTATGGGGCCTGCCCACACTCTTTTCAGCCTGCTCAATTGCTCTGTCTTGCTCCAGTTTCCATGGATAGGAGGTTGAGTTTGACAAATGGCCATCTCTAGTGTGGACATTAAACCAAGCCTCAGACTTTGCCCTCCTCCCTCCTTTTGGCAGTGTGCCAGTCTGTGAAGAGTAAATAGAATCTGACTACATGTTTGTTAGGTTGTCATGAAGATGGGTCTTCTTTTATTGGGATTTGGGGAACATTGCCTGGGACTGTCTATATTCCTTTGTGATAGCGGAGGTAAAAAATGAAGGGCAGCCAGGCGTGGTGGTGCACGCCTTTAGTCCCAGCACTTGGGAGGCAGAGGCAGGCGGATTTCTGTGAGTTCAAGGCCAGCTGGGGCTACAGAGAGACCTTGTCTCAAAAATACCAAAAAAAAAAGAAAAAATCAGTATCAGTGGTAAGTGCAGTGTGAACAAAGTAATCGTCAAATAAGATGCCAGTCGTTTGGGAAGTGAGGAACACTGATAGCACGGCATGCCCTGATGCACTAGTTACTTCAGGTATTGAGGAAAAGGCAGAGTATGAGTAGTGGTTAATACTGGGTTTAAGGGGCTGGACAGATGGCTCAGCGGTTAAGGGCCCTGACTGTGCTTGCAAAAGGGCCCGGGTTTGAGTCCTAGCACCCACATGGTGGCTAACAACCATCTGCCTTTCCTAAAATACAAAAAAAAAAAAAAACAAAACAAAACAAAAAAAAAAACTCTTGCTGAGTGAATTCTGATTTACTAGGAACTTGGTGTTTATGGATTTGGGGGGTGGGTTATACTTTTGTGATCGGCCTTTCAAGAGAACAATGCAGAAAAGAAATGCAGTTTAGATGCCTGCATGAGATCTCCCCAAATCAGAAGCCATGTCAGAATTCAAATGTTCATTGAATGGTGATTAGTGAGTTGCCCAATACTTACCAGGCAGGGCTGTGGCTGCTGCTAGCCCAACAGCAAATAAGCAGGTGTAGGTCTGTTCCCAGCACTCCTAGAACCTGCATTTTGGTAGAGAAAGACGTGTAAACAACCGTAATGGAGGAAAACCAACTACCATGTAACAAAGAAGATGGGGGGCAAACTATGTCAGTGTTTTTAAATCTTGGCCTCACATTGGAATTACCTAAGAATCTTTAAAAGCTGCCCTGGTTTCCCTCCCTCATTTCTGAGTCAGTTGTCCTAGCTTGGGCCCTGGGTGTTTTAAAACACCATAGCAGCCTAGCTTTCAAAGCACTGTACCAAAGAACCACAGAGCTGAGCCAGCAACCTGGAAAGTCTGTTGCTGCAGTGCATTGGCAGGAAGCCTAATTAGCTTTGGCTTTGAGGAGAAAGAGGTGAAGTAATGCAAAACAGATCAAATATGGTAACTGCTCCAGGGGCCTGGCAGCAGACAAACTCAGAGCAGCCCATCCATTGCCCTTGCTCCTGATGGACTGAGGACAGGGCTGCATACTGTTTGGTACACTGAGTTGGAGGCAGCTGGGGAGCCGTGGTGTTGACCAGCTGCACTTCTGCATAGCTACCGTATGTGTAATCTTCCAGCACTGCCTCTGGAGCTTGGAAGGAATCAGAGAGGATGGGGCACTGTAGCATCATGGCCCTGTGCTCCACTGCTTCAGTAACTTGACTCTGAAAAGCCTCTCTGGAAGGGCAGCGTCCCTCAGCCAGAAGTGGGGGATCAAAATCTATCCTGTGTCACACTCATGCCTTCCTACACTGACTCCTTTCTGCACAGCAGTTTCTGCTATTGGGATCAGATTAAAATAACCATGGTGGCAGTTAAAGAGAAAGGCAGTCAAGAAATTCATGTATCTGTTGGCATAGAAGGCTACCATGTTCCTTGCCTTGGAGATTGTAGGAAATCTGTGGACTAATTGAAGCTATACAGACCTCAGGAATTTTTTTTTTTCTAGCATCAATTTGCCATTTTCCTTGACCCCTTGTTTCCCAAATCTGTTGCATCTAAAAAGGAGGTGTTAAAGGCAAGAACTGCAGCAAAAGGAAACTGTGAACAGCTTCTAGATTTTAAAATGGGCCAGACTCAGGCCATTTTCAGTTACCCACCCCCTCTCTCTGCTACAATGTAGATAGATGCTGACAACCTTCTCTTCCTACTTGATTGAAATCATTTTGTCCCTGGCTGTATGTGGTACTTCTTTCAGAAGCTTCCAGGACAGAGTTGATAGAAATAAAATATGTTCTCTCAGCCATTTCTCTCAAAATTAGTAAATGCTGTGAGCAGGGAACTGTTAGCTGTCTGGTGAGAACGAGCATCTCCCCAGTGTTGGGAACCAAACACTGTTGGGCTGTGGAAGTGGGTCATTCCACCTCAGAACTTGGGCAGCAGAAGGGATGGGATCTGTAGTAGAAGTGGAGCCATTCCTATTTCTTTGATCTGTTCACTGTGACTCAAGCAAAGGGCTTCACTGTTTTGTTGCTGAGGGCATGTTGTGCCCAAGAGAAGTGAAAACTATCTCTCTCTTTGAAATTTAGGCAAAAATAACTATTTTCAGACAAAAAGTCTGAATGAGACTTAGGAAGCAGTCCCCGCCCCAGACTGGGTTTGGGTTGTCCTTTTCCCTGAAGCGTAAGCTCTCTTAATTACTTAGAAGTGAATTTCTATTAATATCATCTATTATCAGTCTGCCAGCCCTTAGTATCATCATTATGGTTAGATAACCTTGGCTTGAAGCAGTGGAACTTGGTCAAGGACAGTCTGGACCTCCCTCCTTTCCATTAACATCAAATAAACCAAGTGTTTTTCAACACAGAATTTGCCATCCCCAGAGAAGGTGCTGGTGAGTATGTAATTGTATTCTGAAAGACTAGCCTCATAAAGTTAATGGATGGCAGTTTTCTGAAGGACTAGCCTCATAGAGTTAATGGATGGCAGTTTTTTCTCTATTTTGGGGAAATGCCAATTTGGTTTTCTCCAATTCTGTTTGCCTCTGGCTCCTGAGAACTTACATAATGTAATTCTGGTGCCTAATCTGAAGGGTGTTGTTTAATCTGAAGGGTGAGCCTTGACTGTACCCATAGGACCGTGTGCTCTGGATTGTGGCCATGTAAGCTGCACTTGGAGCAAGGTTGAAGGTCAGGCCCCAATGCCACCACCTCCAGTGCCCAGGCCATTTTCCTTTGGAGTCCCCCTTCCTGGAGTAAAGAGAAGCTGGCTGCCTGCAGAGGTGGGGGGCTCTCAGAGAGCACAGAAGGAAGGCCCAGGATTCTCCCTGGTAAGGAAGCTTAGGCCTGCAGGTGAGCATGCCTAGTAGCAGTGTTTTTCCAGTGCCTTTGGAGCAATACAAAGCTGTCATTAGGCAGGTCTGAAATGTGGTGCCATAGCAGTGGCCTCCCTTTCTCTGACTGTCTGGAGGCTACCCAAGGTCCTCCTGGTCCTCCTGGGTCTCCTTCCTCTTGCCCTCTGGGAAGCTGTCCTGAGTCTAAGAGTGTAGTCTATCTTCTAGAGCCATGCAGGTGATCATACCAAAGTGCAGATTCTGACTCTGGCAGTTCGGGATGGAGCCTGAGCACCTGTATTCTAGCAAGCTTCTGGTAGTTCACAGCCAGTACTGCTGAGCCTCCCACCACACTCTGGGGAGTAAAGACTTGGCAGCCTTTGAATTGGATTCTGGTGCTCCCTAAGGGCTGAGCCCTATGCTGTGTTGCCTGTCTCAGTGTGCTGCTCAGAGCAATGGATGTGCTCCCTGCAGAGACAGTGGAACTTGTGGCTGAGAACACACATTGAACCCTTGGGTCCCCAGGCTTGAGTTGTGGCCACTTACAAGGTAGATGATGCTGGGGAAGTTACTTAATTTCCTCATCTGTAAAATGGGAGCCATAATGGCAACCTACTTCACAGGCCTGTTTGAGAATTAACTGAGATAATGCATGTAGAGCAAGTAGAGTGCCCTGCTCAGTGAAGTGCTTACTAAATGTCACCATTGTTTGGTTGCTGCTATAGTCCCTTCTGCTTTCTGCCTTGTCAGTAGAGGGCTCTTGTCAGTACTGAAAAGGGCAGTCAGCGCTCCTTTAACGATGCTGTAAGAAGCTCTTTTACTAAATGAGGCCTAAAAATAAAGCTCTGTAGAAAGTAGATTGCAACATATTCTAGAACCTAGATTTTCTGTGCATTTCTGAGTTATTTTTAGCTGAGATTGAAGCGAAGTCCTCTGCATCTTGGTGGGCTCTGAAGGTAGAGCCCCTCACAGTGTATGTTTGGGACACTTGTGGGGGCCTCTGTGGAGAACCATTAGTCCTGGGCTTATGGAATTTAAATGGTTACTTTCTAGGCCTGTTTCAGTGACTGATGCTATCTGTTCCTCTGAGTCTTCCTTATTTTTCTTGGGAGAGGAGCAGAGCTGTGAGGCCTGAGGAAACCAAGGAGATTGTGCTTGCAGATCACTTAGCATTCAGATGGTTTCAGGTTTTCAAAAGTCAGAAATTTGCAGCAGGGGACCTTGGGGTATGCTGTCCATATCTTTCCGCTTGAGTCTCCTGTCCCAGCACTTTAGTGGGCCTGCCTCCTTGTGCTTTAGCTAACATGATGCTCTCTGGGCAGGGCTCTGGGCGGGGCTCCTGCTCGAATGTGGGCCTGCAGTACTGGCCATGGGATGCTGTCGTGACATGTTTGTCAGAGGCAGCAGCAGGGGCTGGTTCTGCTTGGCAGTCTCTGTAAGCCTCCAGTATCAAGGTATGCTGGCTTAGCCGGGCTTGGGTCCAAGGAGGAAGATACGCATGCCTGTGGGTTGCCTGGATGAGGAATTCTAAGTCAGGAGTCTCATAGCCCTGCCACTGAAATGTTTAGAAATGAGGGACTGGAGAGTGGGCTCAGTGGTTAAGAGCACTGGCTTCTCTTGCAGAGGACCGGGGTTCAGTTCCTAGCACCCACAGGATGACTACCAACTGCCTATAACTCCAGTTCCAGGGGATCTGACACCCTCTTCTTTTTTAAATTTTTAAAAAAATTTTATGTGTACATAAATGTATGCCTGCATGTATGTATACTGATGTTGTGCAATGCCCATGGAGGTCAGAAGAGGGCATCAGATCCCCTAGAACTGGAGTTACAGACAGTTGTTAGCTGCCCTGTGAGTGCAAGAATTGAACCTGGGTCCTCTACAATAGCACCCAGTGCTCTTAATTGCTGAACCATCTCTCCAGCCCTTGTCATTGGGATTTTGAATCACATGAATAGTTAGCTGGTTAAAATGTTAATATAATTTAAAGCTAAGACACTGAAGGGACTCAACAAAGGTTCATTTGCTTTCCCTGTTCCCTCGTGACCCAGCTCACCCAAGCATGTGACAGTACCACCCAGAGGTACCTTCTAAGAACTTGTCGCTCTTGGAATGAGAGCCTGGTAGCCAGAGGAATGGAGAGGTCAGAAGAGGGAACCATCTGCCAAACAAAGTCTTAGTAGAGACTAGCTTGTGTACTGGGCTATAGCATTAGAAATACCTACAGCCCGAGCCAGGCATCGTGGTTCATGCCTGCATCCAGCACTCCAGAGGTGGAGGTGGGAAGATGGTGCATTCAAGGCTAGCCTTATAGCACACAGTATGAATGCAGAGAGGACACAGAGATGGCTGGAGCAGGGTAGCTAGGACTCCCCAGGGCTATGGAACTTTGTCACTGTGTGCCACTCTGCACAGTTGGCTTCTCTCCCTTCTGTGTGATTCTCACAGCAACCTCATACTGGGCAGGTAGATGCATACCATACCTGAGGCTCAAGGAACTGTGGGACTCTGAGAGGCCTGAAGCCATCTACCAAAGTCCCAGAGGACAGCCCAGACTGCATGTGTGGCTGTAGCATTAGGCATGCACACAGAAACACAGCAATATAAGCAGCTCACATTTATCTCATGAATTCTATGCCCAGGCTCTGTGCCAAGTTTTCCTTGTGTTACCTGATTTTATTTTCTTACCAAATCTGTGAGTACTAATATCTTAGCGGGTCTGCAGGCACTGGTGGTAATTCCATACCACAGATAAGAAAACAGGCTGAAGAGGTTAAGTTGCTGCCTAATATCACACAGCTAGTCAGCAGCAAGGTGACCCCCATCACTCCTGGGCTGAACCCAGGCCTCCAGTCCTGCGTTCCCCACCACCACTTGTCTGTCACCACCACTTGTCTGTCTGCCTGCTTCCTTAGGAAGGAGCCCCCTTTGTTACTCATAAGGCCTGTATGGACTCTGCAGGTTCCTACTTCAGTCCCTGGAAGATCTGGACACAAGCTTAAGGAAACTGAACTCCCGCCTGTTTGTGGTCCGGGGACAGCCAGCTGACGTGTTCCCACGACTGTTCAAGGTGAGTGTGTGTGAAGGGCTGAGAGAGGAGAGGGAGATTCTGTGCCTAGAGTCTTCCCACAAACCCAGTGTGATACTGTTCTGACTGACAAAATGGAAATAACCAGTCTAGTCTGACTAAAATGACTGCTAAGAGGTCCAAAGCAAAGGCAGCTAGCTGGTCAGCTTGTGGGCATAATGGAAACTGTGTTAAGGAAAAGAATTCTGTGAAACCAGTGTCTTGTTGGAAAGGCCCCAGCTCAGCCCAGACATGTGATGTGGTAAGTCCTTCCACCCTGGCTGCTGCTGGCTTCCTTAAATGTTTTCTTAGCTTAAGCCAGTACCTTTTATTAGGGCTCATTCGTGCCAGGACTTTGAGGGTGGGGTTTCCTGTCTAACAAGGGGTACTGCCTACCGTGATTTGCTCTGCTTATCAGGAAAAATGTCAGTCATCCTTTCTGAGGGAGTGTTCCTGTTTCCCTGTGCTAAGCAATTAATAAAATCCTCTTTTGGGGACCAGCCCATTTCTTCCCAGCCCCTTTAAAAAGCATGTTTTGGACCCAAGCAGAGGAATAAGTTCTCATGGAATATAATTCTAGAGCATTCTTCATCCTCAGTAGCACACAGTAGTTTTATGTCCTCTCCACTCCAACTCCATGTCAAGAGGGAAAGTTTGGTGCCAGAGTAAATAGATTCGTAATTAATACACCATCATTCTCTTCACTCCCACATCCCCTCACCACTGCCCATAACCATGCACACACCCTGGACATATTTTGAGGGCCAACTGTGAGTGAAGCCAGTGCCAAAGGCTAACGTGTAGTCACTTACCCCACACCAGTCCTGAGGGGAAACCCACATGTGCTTGTGGCCTGGAAACAGTAGTCTCAGGCTCTGACCCAGAGCTGTGTCTTTTCTCACCATACCATATAAGTACACTCGCTGAGCTGGGGTTGTGGCTCAGTGGCAGAACACGTGCCTAGCATGTATGAGGCCCTCAGTTCCATCCCTAGCACCACAAAAAACCAAGATGACAACAAAAGCCATTTTCCTTTCTTATTCCTACACACTGTTCCTCTTTCCCCCAGCAGCTCAGAGGCCAACCTAGGTGGGTTGTCATTCCTCAGTCATAACCTTCCTCAGGGTTATGTATGTATATATGATGTCATCTATGTGAACTACTAAACATAGTAAGAGCTCAATAAAACTTCAGTATACATGCTTAGATCTACTCCCCAAGGGGTTAAATCAGTCCCTTTGCCCATGAGCTCAAAGCTTAGGGGACCACGACCACAGACTGGTTAGAATTTGTTTTCCTCCTTACTAGTTACATGCTGTAGGGCTTTCTGTGGGCTGTCTGGAAAGCCTTTCACTAGGCCAACTTTCTCCTGCTGTTGCTAGGAGACCAGGAAATTCCTAGCAGAAGTGACTGAAGACAGAAAGCTTCTCAACCTAGGGCCCCTCCAACCTCTGGACTAAGGATAGCTTCTCCCTCCTCAGCCCTGAGAGCTGGAAGCCTATTAGCTCTGTTTGCTTCTGGCCTCAGGAGTGTTGCTGTGGAAACCATTAAGATACTTCACATAGCACAAGTCTGCCAAGAAAACTAGGTCACAAGTTTGCAGGCTGTAAGGAGGCCTGGGAAAGCTTTGCAGAGCTGGTAGGAGGTGGCCATCCTGTCCCCAACTGTCTCCACTGTGAGTCAGTCTCTATCTCTGGGCCAGGAGCTCCCCTGGGAGCAGTGTATTTATAGTTTCATTCTGTCACCTCAAGGCCACAGTAAGTGTACACAGCCTTCCTACTGATTCCATGTTGGTCTCACCCTCCTGGCTGTCCTCTCATACTTTCAGCTTCAGGTTCTTTACTTTCCATTTTAAATTGTTGTGTGCTCGCTGACCTTGGTTTGCTCTGTAGTCATTCTAACTTGACTCAAGACCAGCTCCGTTAGCTCCCAGGGAAGAGCTGAGTGCCTAGATCCCTCTCCTCCTCAAACTACTGAGCATAACAGATTCTCTCCCCACAGGAATGGGGAGTGACCCGCTTGACCTTTGAATATGACTCTGAACCCTTTGGGAAAGAGAGGGACGCAGCCATCATGAAGATGGCCAAGGAGGCTGGTGTGGAGGTGGTGACTGAGAACTCGCACACCCTCTACGACCTGGACAGGTGAGAGATGGGGCCCTGGGTTAGGTTGCCCATAGTGAGGGTTGGTGATTTGGGGCCCTACTGAATAGAACTTGAACCAGTTCAACAAGAGGCCAACCTGGCTCATGAGATTCCGTGTTTTCTAGAAGCTGGGCAAGAATGGGCCAAAGTTGGGGGCTGAAGTCTCCAAAAGGTTACCCAATTTGAATGACAAAAAGTCTAGTCAGATCCAAGCTCTGGAAGCAGGAAGGATCTCCATTCTGGTCCCCATAAATCTGCCAAAGTCCCATTGTGCCTCATGCTCCCTACTTCTACTGTGCCCCTGAATAACTGTCCTCTGACCTTGACCCCATCTGTCACCCCTGTCTGTTACCCTTCTCATGTTGTCTGCTCCCATGGGCCCAGTTTCCATCCCTAGAATTCCTAGGCCTGCTCTTCCTGTCTGGGTTTCCAAGTCATGCATTTTGGTGCTGTTGGAGAGCCCTAGGTAAGGTACTGGTAAACACAGCAGAGCCTCCTTCCCCAGTGACCAGTCTCTGCTTCCACCCTCCACTGCCTGCTGGAGCTGTCACCCTCCTGCTGTTGTTCCCTGCCCTCCCCCAACCTAGGGCTAGCTGCCAGGAGGCTGGGTCACACAACTGTGCATGTGAACCAAGCCCTCAGGAGGAGAGGCTGGGTGTGGAATTCTTTCCCTGCCACTTTTTTTTTTTTCGTGCCAGAGGAGAGGAGGGACTACAGAGGCATCAGCCAGTTTCTGTCATGGCTAATGGGGGCAGAGCAGAGAGAACAAACTGGGAAATGAGCTCACCTAGCCAGCCAGGCCTTGCATAAGTTCCTCCTCTGCCAAGAAGAGACCAGGAATCTCTGTGCACACTGTTCTAGTCTGTCCTCATATAAATAGTTCCATTCTCTTCTATAGGCTTCAAGTCTAGTACTCTATGTTTCTGTTTACTGCAATCCCAGTCTCTGATTTAGGGAGCATCAGATGGCCTCCACCTGTCTGCTCTAATAACTAGGGCTAAATCTTCCAAGAAAGGAGCATGTCTCAACCCTCACCAGAGGCTCACCATGGTATAGAAAGAAACCTATAGTGTGGTCAGATAGGCCCAGTGCCCAGGAGGCCCATGGTGGGGCTGGGGAGTGGTCTGTGTCATTAGAGAGATATGGTCAGTCTCTGTCTCTAGGTAGCTCCATGTGGACACCAGAGAGCCTGGATTGGCCCCAGCTTTGGCCCTGCCTTGCTCCATTACCTGAGGTACCTGCTCCAGCTCCCTGGGCTTCGTTTTCCCTCCCGGTAAAATGGAGATGCACTCGGGTGGGACCATGAGCTGATGAGAGCGACCCTCAGAGCTTCTGAGTCTTGGCTCTTTTAAAAGGCCTCATAAGTGACTGTTGGTGTGCTTTGGGCTCCCCAGGATCATCGATCTGAACGGGCAGAAGCCACCCCTCACCTACAAGCGCTTTCAAGCCATCATCAGCCGCATGGAGCTGCCCAAGAAGCCAGTGGTTGCTGTGACTAGCCAGCAGATGGAGAGCTGCAGGGCTGAGATCCAGGACAACCATGATGACACCTATGGTGTGCCCTCCCTAGAGGAGCTGGGTACGTAGGGCCTGCCCCATGGCTGGCTCCTGCTTCTGGTTGTGGCAAGTGACTTGATTGTTACCTTCTTTATCAAAGTAAGGTGTATTGTTACAGAAAATACTGGCCTGGTGACACATGCCTATAATCCAGCACTTGGGAGGTGGAGGCAGGGGGAACAGGTCAGTTCGGACTGCATGAAACCTTGTCTCAGAAAAAACGGTTTAGAAGATATGGAATAGCAAAGCTGTAAATAACAAAGGATATGACCCCACCCCCAGGATGACCACACAAAGTTTGGAGTGTGTCCTTCTAGTCTGCTGCCTGCATTCCTACAGTCTTTTTCTGACTGGGACTGCTCTGTGTATTTCCTTCACTCAACAGTAGAGATACTGTCTGGTGCTGGGATCAGTGGGTATCTTAGCACTAGGGTAACTAGTATTGTTTTCTTGGTGCCAAGCCCACTCTTCCTTCTCCATTCCCTTGCCATCCATCTTTCCATCCAAATAAATTACCTTTTTTACTTCGAGGATTTTCTCAGTTTCCAGTAGCACCAAGTTCAAGGACTGTTTTAACTTTTCACAGAATTTAAGGAACCAGATCAGTGTGAACAGTGGAAATTATAATTCTTAGGATTTTGAGCGACCTTAAAAGCATTTTCTTAGCTGTCTCTGAGGTGGCCTGACCTCCAGGCCTGTGACCTGCTGCCCTCTTACAGGCTTCCCCACTGAAGGACTTGGCCCAGCTGTCTGGCAAGGAGGAGAGACAGAAGCTCTGGCCCGCCTGGATAAGCACTTGGAACGGAAGGTATGATCCTGTTTCTGAGCCATAGAACTACCAGTACTGGAGCCCACACAGCAGGGCATGTGGGTCAGCTTCATGTCCTTTGGAGTCTCTTTGCTCCCATCTATTAAAACTGAAAATTCCTCCTGGTGGCAGAATTAACATCAGCATCAACAACAGCAGCTCCCGTTTAGGGTCCTTTCCTCGTGCTGGCCCCTGGTTAAGAGCCTGATTGTATTAACTCCTTTCATCTCTCCGTTGCCCTACAAGGCAAGCATTGGGGTTCCCATCGAACAAATTACAGAACTGAGGCGTAGAGAGGTTGAGTAACTTGCCTGAACTCACGCAGTTGGTAAATAGTGAAGGTAGATGCAGTTCCATGTGATCACACAACTTATGCCCAGATTGCCTTTCTTCTGTGGGCAGGTTCTTTATACTACAAGGCAATCCAACTAGGCTTGGTGGCTCATGCTGGTAATCCCAGCATTGAAGAAGGCTGAGGCAGGAGGATCACTCTGAGTTACAGGCAAACCTGAGCTACAGAGTAAAACCTGGTCTCTAAAACAACCAAAAAAAAAAAAATCAATTTTTAAAATGTAAAGATTCAGTCCATAAGATCAATCATTTGGGGTCAAGCATCCCCTATCTTTTGCTTGATCTCCTCCAGGGCCTTACTTTCCATTTGCTCATACCCAGAGAGCAAATGGCTACTTTCTATGCCATCGGAATTGGCAAGAGGAAAGAAAGAGGCCCCGAGGCTCTGTTAGCAGTGTCCTGTGGTCAGCACCCTGAGACCAGAGGAGCAGAGCTGGCTCTGGTGACTGGAGCTCTGAGCTTAGTTCCACAGCCCTATGGTCTGGCTATGGTCTGGCCCTTAAAGGAACAGCTGTTTTGTTTCCACTCAGTGGAAAGGCATTTTGCCTAGCAGCTGGATGATAGCAACGGAACAAGGAGACAAGGCTGACCCACTTGGGAAGGGTGCTTTTCTAGCCTTGAAGTGTCCACCAGCCAGCACTGAGGCTATGCTGATAGTTTCAGCCTCCCTCAACCCAGCAAACCTTGATGATCCCATCTAGATGTTTCTCTTAGCTGTGACTTGAAAGCAAGTCCTTCAGATTTGAAAGATGGGGCCCAGTGTCAATGGCTACAAGGGGACCAGCTTTCTCTGTCCACATCAAGAGCTTTACCCAGGACTGGGCTGTAGCTCAGTGGTAGAGTGTTTTTCAAGTGTGCTAAAAACCCTGGTTCCATCCCTAGCATGGGGTGGAGGGGCCGAACTTTTCCCAGAGATTCTTAAGCTCAATTTGGCATTAAAGTTGGGTCAAGGGGTAGAGGATGGAAAGGACAAATGGGATGGCAGGAAGAGAATAATACTTTAGAATATAGGGGCTGGAGAGATGGCTCAGCGGTTAAGAACACTGACTGTTCTTACAGAAGACCCGGGTTTTAATCCCAGCACCACATGGCAGCTAACAACTGTCCATAACTCCAGTCCCAGGGGATCTGACAGCCTCTTCTGACCTCCGCAGGCATTGCATGACACGGGTGCACTTACCTACAATGCAGGCAATACATGCATACACATAAAAATTTTTTTTTAATTAAATTAAAAAAGATAATAAAATTTTTTTTAAAAAGACAAGAGCTGGGTGTGGTGGTGCATGCCTTTAATCCCAGCACTTGGGAGCAAGAGGCAGGCGGATCTCTGTGAGTTCAAGGCTAGCCTGGTCTACATAGTGAGTTCCAGGACAGCTGGGGCTACAGGGAGACCCTGCCTCAAAAAGACCAAAAAAAAAAAAAAAAGACAAGAATATAAAGAGCTAGCTGGGTATGTGGGCACGCCTTTGATCCCAGCACTTGGGAGGCAGAGACAGGTGAATCTCTGTGAGATCATGGCCAGCCTGGTCTACATAGGGAGTTCCAGGCCAGGTGAAGCTATAGGGAGACGCTGTCTCAAAAAAAAAAAAAACAAAGAAAAAAACAAAGAAAAGAGTAAGAGTTAAGCTGTGGCCTGATGGATTATCATTTTATTACTTTATAAGTAATTTTTAGAGGATTGCTCTCAAATCACCAAATGAGGAGCCTCCTTTCCATACACCCTGGAGGGCCTTCCCACGTGGAGGGGTTGGGCTGAAGGAGCTGTACCTGTCAAGGGGATTTACTACCTTTTTGGTTCTCCAGATATGAAGTGAGCAGCCATTTACATCAGGCCAGATCTGGAGAAGTCTCCAAAAACATAGTCTGCTTATTTACAGGATTAAGAAAGGAGAGGTTATAAGAGGGTTGTGGAGCAAAGAGCATCAGGCTGAATTATTAATGAGGTCTTATCTGTAACTGGCTTTTATAAGGGGGAATTTTAGCCGGGCATGTGGCACATGCCTTTAATCCCAGCACTCAGGAGGCAGAGGCAGGCAGATCTCTGTGAGTTCAAGGCCAGCCTCGTCTACATAGTGAGTTCAGGACAGCTGGGGCTACAGGGTGACCCTGTCTCAAAAAAAAGTCGCGGGGGGGATTTTTATGTGTCTTTTTTTAATTGAATTTTTGTGTATTTCATACAGAATATCTTAATTGTCTTTATACTCCCTTCCCTATTGGCCCCCTCCCCTACCCCCCAGATGTCCCTCAGTGCAAGTTCATCCACTGAGGTCTAGTCAGCCTATTTAGAGTCCCTCCCTTTAAGAAGGGAGGGTCATTGATGTCATTTTAGGCCTTGAAGCTGGAGTTGGACCATCGATTGATGTTCTCCAAAAAGGGGGATTTTTTAACTAATATAACTAGGAGTCTAAGAAGTAGCTTTCAGGCATACTTCTCTTCCTCACCAGCAATAATCAGCTGCCAATAATCCTTCAACTAAGATTGGGGCCTGATGTCCATTTCCACAGTTCTATGCTTGGTTTTTGTCTGCTTGAGTTTGCATGGGTCTTGTGCATGCTGACACCATTACTGTAGGTTCATACAAGAAGAGTTCCAGGAGTCTGTAGGACTCTTATTTCTGTATGGTCATGTACCTCCTCCCTGGCTCTCACAGTCTTTCCACCCACTCTTCCACAATGGTCCCTGAGCACTGGGTGGGTGGATTTTAATATAGGAGTCCTGTCCAAGGACCCACACTCTGTAGACTCTTATTCTCTATGTTTTGGCCATTTGTGACCTTTTGTGTTCCTGGCCCTGTGTTGCACGAGGAAGCTTCATTGGTGAAAATTGAAAAATGCATTAGTATTCTCTTCACCCCTTGTTCTATATTCTGTGAGCCTTAGGTGTAGAGGTTGCATCATACATGTACTACTTAGGCTTGGGCAATTCACAGAGAATCTCTGTGTGTGAACTCTGTAATAATCTGTTTGTTGAATATGAAGTTTCTTTGATGGGTGGTGACTGGGATACTTGTCTGTAAATTTAAGGATCTATATTTCGCACATAGTAAGAAATTACATTTGTCTAGGGATGTGACAGCCTTGGGGTTTTCTCTAAGATCTATGACCTCTCTAGCTATATGTGTTTGGCTAGGTTTATAGTACCACACATGTTTCCTCCCATTGAGTGGGCTTTAATTCCAATTAAGTAGCTGTTGATTATCCCAAGATAAAAGTGCCACTACTGCACCAACATCATTTGCTGTCCTAGTCATTGATGTGGTTTTAGGCCTTGAAGCTGGGGTTGGACCATCAATTGATGTTCTCCAAAGAAGGGAATTTTTAAAATTTTATTTATTTTATTTTATTTTATGATTTTTATTTTATGTGTATGTGTATATTGCCTGCATGTAGGTAAGTGCACCTGTGTCGTGCAGTGCCCTCAGAGGACAGGAGAGACTGTCAGATACCCTGGAACTGGAGTTATGGACAGTTGTTAGCTGCCATGTGGGTGCTGGGATTTGAACCCAGGTCTTCAAGAACAACCAGTGTTCTTAACCATTGAGCCATCTCTCCAGCCCCAAAGGGGAATTTTTAACTAACATAACTAGGAGTCTGAGAAGTAGCTTTCAGGTATAGCTGGATCCAGGTGTCACAAGAATGTTTAGAAGCAGACATCCTCCATCTGTTAGCTGTGTTTCCTCTGCATGAGCTCACTCTCAGGCAGATTCCTTTGAGCATTGTTCAGGATGGTCCCACAGCTTGTTTTCTGTCTGTTCAGCACACCAAAGGAACAGGTATACTTCTATCAGAAGCTTCAGGAAAATCCTAGAAGTGTTTTCATCAGCTTGACTTGGGCCATGTTCCCTTCCCTGGCTCAGTCACTGTGGCTAAGGATGGGGTGTTTTCCCTGGCCACTCCCAGAGTTGGAAAGTAGACTTAGCTCTGCTTCAGTCACTAGGACTGAGATTAAATCTTTATTCAAAAAAATATGATTTATGGGGCTGGAGAGATGGCTCAGTGGTTAAGAGCACTGACTGCTTTTGCAGAGGACCGGAGTTCAATTCCCAGCACCCACATGGTGGCTACAAACCATCGTTAACTCCAGTTCAGGGGAATCCAAAGCTCTCTTCTGACCTCTGCGGGCATTGCACGACACAGGTGCACTTACATACATGCAGGCAATATACTCAGACACATAAAATAAAAATAATAAATAAATTATATATTTTTTATGTTTCATTTTATTATTTTTATTTTATGTGTATGAGTGTATTGCCTACATGTATGTGAGCGTACCCGTGTCGTACAATGCCTGCAGAGGTCAGAAAAGGGCATTGGATCCCCTCAAACTGGGATTACAGATAGCTGTTAACCACCATGTGGGTGCTGGGAATGGAACCCAGGTCCTCTACAAGAGCAGTCAATGCTCTTAACTGCTGAGCCATTTCTCTAGCCCCAGCACTGAAATTAAAGAAGGCTGGTGCTCCAAGAACATGAGATGCTATTAACAAAAAAGGGGGCATGTTCTTCACCCTTGGTCTCTCTGTAATGGTATTCTGAGTATTAAGTATAAAAGAATAACAGAATTGGGCCTGGAGAGATAGCTCAGCAGTTAAGAACACGTACTGCTCTTGCAGAAGACCTGGGTTTGGTTCCCAACACTCACGTGGCAGCTAACAACTGTCTGTAAACTCCCATTCCAGGGCATTCAGCTCCCTCTTCTGACCTCTGCAGGCATTGTACAACATAAGTACACCCACCCACATGCGGGCAATCCAGTTGTATACATAAAAATAAAATAATAAATTAAAAAAAATTTTTTAAATGACGTGGTGGTTGCACGCCTTTTTCCCAGCACTTGGGAGGCAGAGGCAGGCAGATCTCTGTGAGTTCAAGGCCAGCCTGGTCTACATAGTGAGTTCCAGGGCAGCTGGGGCTACAGGGAGACCCTGTCTCAAAAAGACAACAACAACAACAACAAAAAGACAGAATTAAGAGAACCACCATTCTGCAAACCTCAGTGATGACACATACATTAATGACCACAGCCTCCACCAGGAATTGTGCATCCCCTGTAGACTTCCCAGAGGATCAAACCCAAGTCCAGTCCAATCTCTAGGACCAGCCACCAATTTGTAGGCAATACACTGGACAGAGGGTCATGTCAAACTGGACTATCTAGTTGTCCTGACAAGTCCAGTGACCTGAGTCCTTCCACAGAAAAAATGGGAAGCAAAAGAGGAAATGACAGGAAGTGTGTGACTGAAAGAAACTTAAATATGAAAGCTTTACAATTGGCCAAGGCAAGGGATACACATTTGGGTGAGGTAAAAAGTAGGTACTTAAAAATGCAAGGAAGGAAGCAGAAAAATGTAAACATTTCAAAAATGCAGGAAGTAATTATTATAAAAGTTGGGGCTGCTGTCACTTGTCGGGGGAGAGAAGGGACCTGTGTGGACTTAGCACATAGACCAGCTTCCTGGGTGGCTGGCAGAGTCTTGTTTCTAGAACTTTGCTGGTGATTGCCTGATGTTTGCCTAAGAAGAATTCAGTAAGCCACACATTTGTGTGAGTTTCTCTGTCTTTCATTTAAAATAGAAAGATCGGGGTTGGGGAGATGGCTCAGTGGATAAGTGCTTGTTTTGCAAGCATTAGGACCTGAGTTCAGATCCCCATCACCCACATAAAAAGCTGGTAGTTTAATATAGATTTGAAATTAGCTTTTTAAGGCTGGGTGTGGTGGCACATACTGGTCATGAGCCATGTTGGGAGGATGGCTCAGGCTTTCTGGTTATCAGCCTAGCCAAGAAAAAGCATCAATCCAGAAAAAATAGAGGAGGGCACCACCATCCTCTTCTGGCCTCCATATTCCCATGTACGTGTACACACATGTATGCATACACATAAACACAAAACACTGAAAAAAATTTTACAAGATTGAAACTGCAGGAAGAAAGGATAAGTGAGGCAAGGTGGTATGTATGCTGGTGAGAACTTAAGTAAAAGTCTAAGGAAAATTAGTGCTGGATGAAGCACACTGCCAATGAACACATGGTGCTTGAGGAGAGGCTGGGGTGGCATGGGTGCTTCTAAGCTCTGCAGACCCTCTTTAAGATTTGGGACTCAGTCCTCTGAATAGCACTAGTACTCCTCAGTATGGAAGGTGGACTAGAGGGAGCAGTCACCATCATCCAGTCTGTACTTAACAGTAGTGGATGGAATGAACAAGACACATTTGAGAACTGTTTGGGCAGTCCAGTTGTTGAGGACATGGTGAAGGGGAGAGGTTGTGATGGCCAGGCTTGTCCATGGGGGAACAAGGTGGGTAATGGTGCCTTTCTGAGAAGGATAGTCCATCACAAGGGTGAGCTTAAAGAAAGAGCAAGTTATGCATAAGGCAGCTGGAGAGATGCGGCTGGGCCACAGATACAGACCTGGTGAATGGCTGGGATGGTCCTGGAAGAGCAAGGGCAGGGCCCAGGGCTGCTGATGTTGAAGGTTGAGCAGAGGAAGGGGCGCCTACAGAAGATGGAGAGTGTTTAGCCAGATGGAGTCACTGATGCCCTTAGAATGGAGGAAGGAAATGGGAGGGTAGGCCACATGGTACAGTGCTGCTGACAACTCCCAAAAATACAAGGACCACAGTGCCTGCTGGAGTCAGTGGCTAGAGGTCACTGGAGGCTGCTGGCACCAGCAAGGTCAAGTGGCGAGGGCTTGGGAAATGATTTGAAGATGGGGGTGGGGTAGGGGTAGTAGAGACAGGCTGGCAGTGAGGCAGGAAAGGACAGTGTGGAAGCCCACTGGCTACAAGTTTTATTGTTGGTTTGGTTTTGTTTGCAGAGGAGAAATGAGATCATTTTTTGATGTTCTTGGTGTGGAAATAATGGTGGAGGAGAGGGCACTCACTGTGCCAGAGTACTGTGGAAAGAGACTGGAATCGAGTGAGAAGACTAGGCCAGCTGCAACCCTGTCTCTACAAGTGCCATAACCCCAAGAGAATCACAGAAGCCTTTTGAGTTCAGTTTTCATGTTTTCAGAAAGAGATAATGTAATGAGTGCTTCTCTGAGACTTGTTAAGGCCAAACAAGAATCCCTGACACAGTGACTTGGGAGAGCAGAGCTGTGTGCCAGGGACTGACTGTAAATGATAAAACAAGACCAGTGATACATGACAAATGGCATCAGAAGTGAATGGCTCTGCTGGGCCCCAGACATGGGTTGGGAGTTCTCTCTGTCTCTCTGAGTGTCTGTGATGCAGCAGCAGCCCAAGGTCTCTGGTGACAAGAGCAGGGACTGAGGAATATTTTTTTTTTCTGTAGAATAGAAACCCTTTTTTCTTTCTTCTATATAATTATGGTCTGTTTCATGCTTCAGAATTCTTTCCTATTTGTATTAATCCCCAGAGATGGGAAATGTTTTATTTAATAGCTAAGTAGCTGAGGGGCTAAAGAAATCATTCATAGTCATACCACAGACTAGGGCAAAGCCAGGGCAAGAACACCAGCCTCCCTTCATCCTAAAGTCTGCAGGTTGAGAGTGGAATGCAGTGCTCAAGTCCTGGCTCCTTGTTCTTTGGCTAGGCAAAGAATTCTCAACACTGTAACACTGAGACTTTTGCTCCTGTCACCTTCCCAGGCCTGGGTTGCCAACTATGAGAGGCCCCGGATGAATGCCAATTCCCTGCTGGCCAGCCCCACAGGCCTCAGCCCCTACCTGCGCTTCGGCTGCCTCTCTTGCCGCCTCTTCTACTACCGCTTGTGGGACTTGTATAAAAAGGTGAGATGCAGTTGGTGTGACATGCTTGCTCCAGGCAAGCACCCTCTGCCAGTCACCCTGGACCCTTGGGACTGGTCTGTGGGTCCCAGAAGCATTCTATCCAGAAAAGTGTGTGTGTGGGGAGGGGTAATTCAAGAGGTTGCAGAGCTGGGCACACTGAATCACTGATCTGCATAGACCAGATTCTCATGTGGCCCTGAAGAACAGTGGAAAAGTTGACCTCAGAGGGACCCTGGAGGAGGTAGATCAACTGACAGCAGATGAGTCGTGTAGAGACCTTCAGGGTAGGAAATAAGGAGAATGAGGCCAGAGATGGTCCAAAGCTGAAGGGCACTGCTGGCCTCTCTGGGCTGTGTCCAGACTTTAAGGAGCTGGTACCCATCAGTGATGGACCAACCTGAAGGGGCTACATTCTGGGTCATGCCATATAGCCAAGAAGCGGAGAACTCTGGAGTCTCTGGACTCCAGATCATCCTGTGCCTTTGTTTTTTAATGTCTTCCCCAGCCTTACCTGTATCTGGACTGGCACGGGCTAGCTTTGCCAGTTTGGTGGGTAGACTTGTGTTGGGAGGAGAATCTGCGTGGAGTCTTCGTGTCTCAAGAGTGTTGCATATAGCTTAAGTAATCAAAATAAGTGTGTGCTGATGTATAACTCCCTTCAGCTTTCTAGAAAGTAGAGCCAACAGGGACCCCTGAGGACCAGGATGCTGTGCAGTATTAAGGAGTTTGGCAGAGTCCTGTAGAATCTGCCTTTCCCTGCCAGCCCTCTGCAGCCTTTCTTGTTACTCAGAGCAGTGGCCCAGCATAGCTAGGACCTGAGTGTTGCTTCTCAGCACATTGTGAGCCTTCTATGCGCAGTCCCCTTGTGTGTCTCGGGGGTTCAAAGCCACCACACTTAGGAGGCACTCCAGGTTCCTCTGTGGGGGAGACTGAGCATTACAGTGCTAAAAGCTGGGTAGTTGCTCACCTCCATGTGCTACTCCCACCCCTCAGGTGAAGCGGAACAGCACACCCCCCCTCTCCTTGTTTGGACAACTCCTGTGGCGAGAGTTCTTCTACACGGCAGCCACCAACAACCCCAGGTTTGACCGCATGGAGGGGAACCCCATCTGCATCCAGATCCCCTGGGACCGCAACCCTGAGGCCCTGGCCAAGTGGGCCGAGGGCAAGACAGGCTTCCCTTGGATTGACGCCATCATGACCCAATTGAGGCAGGAGGGCTGGATCCACCATCTGGCCCGGCACGCTGTGGCCTGCTTCCTCACCCGCGGGGACCTCTGGGTCAGCTGGGAGAGCGGGGTCCGGGTGAGTGCTCTCAGTGGAAGCTGGCCTATACTCTGATCAGGCCCAATCAAGGGCAGCCCCCTTCTGGGCTGGGGGATGGGGTGGGCTCCCTGGGTCCAGGAGATCCCTTCCACATCCTCCCTACCCTCAGAAGAAGGGCTTTGGCTCTTTGGGGCCTTACAGTGACCAGGGAAGAGCCAGAGCATCAGGTCCCTAAGGAGGCTGGTTGTCCCTCCTCTAGGTGTTTGATGAGCTGCTCCTGGATGCAGACTTCAGTGTGAACGCAGGCAGCTGGATGTGGCTGTCCTGCAGTGCCTTCTTCCAACAGTTCTTCCACTGCTACTGCCCTGTGGGCTTCGGCCGCCGTACGGACCCCAGTGGGGACTACATTCGGTGAGGACCACTGTGGCCTCTTCCTGGATTGGGGGTACCCTGTAGCCTTTGAAGAAGAACCACAGTGTGCTGACAGGTCGTCCGGTGTGTTTCAGGCGATACTTGCCCAAATTGAAAGGGTTCCCCTCTCGCTATATCTATGAGCCCTGGAATGCTCCCGAGTCCATTCAGAAGGCTGCCAGGTGCATCATTGGTGTGGACTACCCACGGCCCATGGTCAACCATGCTGAGACCAGCCGGCTCAACATTGAGCGCATGAAGCAGATCTACCAGCAGCTCTCACGCTACCGTGGACTCTGTAAGGAGCCCCTGCCCCTCACTCAGCATCTTACCCACCCAGGGGAGGACAGAACCTGAGGGCAGGGAAATCAATGGGCCTGCCCAGATGTTTGCTGTCCTCAGGCTGAAGGACACTGCAGGCTGGGTTAGATTGGGCTTCTGGAGCAGTGTGGGATGTTAGGAGGAGGTGGAAGCTGTGTTGTTGTCCATTCTCACCTTTCCTTTTCCTGTTTCTCATGCTCTACAGCATTCTGCAGTTCTGTGGGGTACATTCTGATTACCCGTTTCCTGTCCCCTAGGTCTTCTGGCATCTGTCCCTTCCTGTGTGGAAGATCTCAGTCATCCAGTGGCAGAGCCAAGCTCAAGCCAGCCTGGGAGCATTACCAACACTGGTGAGTAGCAGCAGTTGGCCTGCAGCCTCTCTGGCTTCCCTGGCCTTCTGTGGCCCACCGTCCAGCCTCCCATAATCTCTCTGTGTGGCCTTCTGCGGCCTCTCCCCTCCCTCGCCTACCTTGCAGCCTCCCTGGTCTTCTGTGGCCTGTGCCTCTACTTCAGTCATTCAGGGCTGAGGCCAGAATGAGCACAAGCCTTGAGGAACTTGTTCCCCTGGGGCAGACTGATAGTAAGGGACTCAAATGAGAACAACTCAGATAAGAATTGGGGGTGGGGGATAACATTGAGAGGCTTGATGGAAAGCGTCTGGGAGGAGGGGATCCTTTGGGTTGCTTTAGATGGAAGCAGCTAAGGGACACCTCTGAGCACTGCTTACCCACAGCAGGACAAGAACTGAGAAAGAACATTTCAGACAAAGGAAATAAGAAAAGGCGGAACCCATTTTAAGAACAGAGGGAGCCAGTGTGATGTGTCATGCGAGGATGAGCTGGGGACAAGGCCAAGCAGAACAGCTTTGGCTCCCAGTCTCATTGCCTCATGCACTGAAGGGGGCCAGTAGGGCAGGGCATGGTCCCATTCAGGTTTTAAAGGCTTCCTGCCTACTGCATGGACAGTGAGGAACAAGTGTGAGGACAAGGAAGTGAGGAAGGAGTGGCATGGGGATCTAGGCAGGAGAAGGTATGAACAGAGAGCAGTAGGAGGTCCTGAGCCTCTTCCCTTGGGCTCAGGAATGGTCCATGATGTAAAAGTGGCTAGAACTCCCAGGGTTTTTCCCGTCTGCCCCGCCAGCCTGACACCATGAACTGGACCCTGCTCATTGCCATTCAGAGAGGTGGCTCCAGGGCTGTAGAGGGAGTGCCTTAACTTCAGAGCAAGGACAGCAAGCAGAACAAATCAGTTTCTGGCCTGGAGCCCACGGGGAACTTGGAGGCCAGCAGGTCCTGCTGCCAGCAAGCCAGGCCATGTCCTCAGACAACTCCAGGCAAGGTCACTGCTGAAAGGAAGGGCAGGGCAGGGCTCCTTGTCCCCAAAGAGCAGCTGCTGCACAATGTGGAGTCAACTTGACTAGTGTCTGAACCTGTCACTTTGCCTCCCCATAGGCCCCAGACCACTGTCTACTGGCCCAGCTTCCCCCAAACGTAAGCTGGAAGCAGCTGAGGAGCCGCCTGGTGAAGAACTGAGCAAGCGGGCTAGGGTGACAGAGCTGCCTGCCCCAGAGCTACTGAGCAAGGATGCCTGAGAGTGAGTGCTGTCCACTTAGAGTCCTGGTTGGGGAGGAAGGTGGAAGAGGTGGGGTGCAGTTTGGAAAACTACCACTTGCCAGCAGAAAGTTCAAATAGTAAATTAGGTTAAACTCCAGTAAAAGACTGTAGGACTTTTGCTCAAAAATTTCACCATTTTGACTTTTCAATCTTTGGGCCTTTTTGTTTGTCTTGGTTTGTTTTGAGACAGGCTTGCTATGTAGCTAAAGCTGACCTCAAACTTGTAGCAATCCTCCTGCCTCAGCCTCCTGAGTATTAGGATTTCGGATCTGAGCCACCATGCCCAGTTTACCTTCTAAAATTTAAAAGGAAAAATTTTTTAAGGGAAGAAGGGCTTATTTTGGAAGAAAGAAATGTAAAAGTTGATATCTCCTTTGCTTGTTTTCTGAATGAGGAAAAAGAAAAAGGGGATCAGTTTTATTGTGTTTATTTCCTTACCCTTTCTACCCTCTAAAGTGAACCAAATTCAACCAAAAGAAATGAGAGCCTGGGATATGAAGCTGTTAAGTGGCCCTGTGACAGATCGGAGGCTGTACTCTGTATACGGGCCTGCAGAGGGCAGCACCGGGCTTCAACCAGCTGGAAAGGGCTCAGCCCTGGAAGGACCAGAGGGCCCAGCTTCCCACCTTCTGTCAGGGCCTTGCACACCCTGTCATCATCTTCCCTCCCACCAAGGCCACAGCTTTGCACATCCCTGTCAATGCTCATCTTTTCTGGAAGCTTCCTGAATATCATTAAAAAGGAAAAGAAAATCCCTGTCTCCTCCTCCTTGCCCAAAGGAGGATGGGCTTTTCTGCTTACTTGGGGAAATGTAGACAGCCATCTTCTCTGAACCACAGTCAGGCTGTACCTTATGTGTTGCAACTACAGTAGATTGGAAGGTGCTTTTCTCCATGGAGCTGTTTGGTCTTTTTTTCCAATCCTTCGCACTTTGGGGCCTCACTGGGACTGTCTGCGCAGTGTGTAGGTTTGTATGGACTGGGGCGCATTTGGGACTTTTACCCTGTAGATAGTGCCAGTAGACAAGTTGTGCTGCCTTGTCCCTGGAAAAGCCAGCATTGCCAATATGATGTGGAGCAGAATACTCTGTCTAATGAACTGGCCAGGCTGGATACTCTGATTTTGATGCAAGATCAAAAAACAGAGAGGTTAGGTGTAGGAATCAAGGTTGCACAGCAAGCTGATGGCATTCAAAGCAGCATGGCCTTGTTGCCAGCGCATGTTTGGCATGTAACATGGGATCTGCTCACAACAACTCAACAGCTTGCTTATGAAAGGAAGACTAATATCCCACAATTCCTTCCTACTAATATCCTAGACAAACAATACAGAAGAGAGCTGTTGGTGGGCTGTACAATCATGGAACATGAAACAAAACTTTGCACCAGGGAGCCTGAAAGACGAATTGGATTGCAGAGCAGATGGTATCTTGAACAGTAACAAAAATAGCTGAAGTTTACACAGTTTTGTAAATGTTAATCTCTGAGACGTCTTTCTTCCCTATAAATCAGGTTATTTTATATTTTATTTATTATTTTTATTTCATGTGTATGAGTGTATTACCTGCATGTATGTAAGTGTTCCTGTGTTATGCAGTGTCCATGGAGGTCAGAAGAGGGCATTGAATTTGGAGTTATGGTTGGTTGTTAGCCAGGTGGGTGCTGGGAATTGAACCAGGTTTTCTTCAAGAACAGCCAGTACTCTTTAATTGCTGAGCCAGCTCTCCAGCTGCCAGGTGATTGTTATAAAGATTAAATGCAGATGTTCCTGTTAGGAATGTGTGGGACAGCTAGTGCAGGTTCAGCATCCCTAAACCCAAACTCCCAAATCCAAAATGCTCTGAAATCCAGAACTGTTTGGTGAGTGCCAACAATAAAGTCTCTGCGAATAATCCAAAATTAAAAAAACTCCAGAATCTAAGACACCTCTGGTCCCAAGCACATCAGATAATGATCACTCAGCCTGCTGTTTGTCTTAAATACACAGGGATAATTTTTCTTAGCTGACAAGAGACTCAGAGGTGAATCCTGTGAGCTTTGGTGTTCTGGCTCTGATGGCAAAGCCAGTCTTCCTGAGGTTCTCATGGCTATTGCCTGGTGGCCCAGAGATGGCTTGGCTTTTGCAGCTCAACTGTTGGTGCCTCTTCAAGGCAGGGACAGGAGGACGGGGGATGACTGTGCTCGTTTACTTGGTTAACCTACATACATGCTCCCAATTCACAAGAAGGGTCCTGGGCTTGGGGTATGTTGTGAACTGGACTGGCAGCCTCTCCTTTCCATTGGGCATTGGTAGGAGGAGGAGACAGAAAGAAAACAAACCAGTAATTTAAGTATCAAGAGGCCATAAATGTTATGAAGGAAGAATGAAGTTGAATAAGAATATAGGAAAGCCTGGGCACAGAGAGGGTGCAGTTTTGTCAAAAGGGCTGCTAGTCCAGGGACTGTGTGGAGAAGCAGTGGCTTGTTGTCTGGACTGGCCCAGTAGGCACCTGAACAAACTCTAGGTGGAGTTAACTAGGAAGTGCAGCTCCTAGTGAATACCAATAATGTCACGGTATACAGGGTGCACAGCCTGGGCCTGGCTCAGAAGTCCTGGCAGACAGTGCTCTTGCTGGGATGGGGATTAGGATTATTCTTTCCTTGGTCTAATTGATCTTGAAGACCGTTAGCCCAGGCACAGGGGTCCCTTGGGGGCTTTGTAGGAGAGAAGAAGCTGAGGAAAAGGACATACAGACTGGCACTGGGCGGGGGGGCGGGGAGACTAAGCACTGGACCAGGGCCCTGTAGAGGACCAGGTGGGCAAGAGCTACTTGAAAGGCATGGTGCTGGTGCCAAGTGACGTCACAGCAGTGCAGAGGAGTGTCTCTTGCCTGCTAGTCCAGGTGCTCATGTGTTGGCCTACTGGGATCTCAGGGTCTGCTTCTCCTAGTCTGAGCTCTACATCTTCAAACAGTGGCTCTTTGGGCAGTTGGGCCAGGTGAGGCTTTTGAAGGTGGAATAGGGAAAGGACCAAGAGCTCAGAAGATGTGGTCAGGGCAGACATCCCTTTGAAACAGACAGGGGAGCCCCATGGCTTTAAAGAAAAAGAATGCACTGCCTTCCGTGCACTGACTGGGTCATTTAGGCCTCGAGTTGATGAGCACCCTCTGTTGTAACAGGGTTCTCAGAGGAGCTGAGCTGTTCTGGTTTCTTTCAATTGCTGTGAGAAAAACACTGACCAAAACCAACTTGGAGAGGAAAGGGTTTATCTTGTGTCTTCTAGGTCACAGTTCATCACTGAGGGAAGCCAAGGTACGCACTCAAGACAGGAACCTGGAGGCAGGAGCTGAAGTACAGGCCATGGAGAAATGCTACTTACTGGCTTGCTCCTTTGACCTGTGCTTAGCCTGCTTTCCTTTTTTCTAAAATATTTTATTTATTATTTTTATTTTATGTGTAAAAGTGTATTGCCTGTGTGTATGTGAGTGTACCCATGTTGTGCAATGCCACAGAGGTCAGAAGAGGGCTTTGGATTCCCTTGGAACTGGAGTTAAGAATAGTTTGTAGCCGCCATGTGGGTGCTGGGACTCAAATCCCGGTCCTCTGCAAGAGCAGTCAGTGCTCTTAACTGCTGAGCCATCTCTCCAGCCCCCAGCCTGCTTTCTTATACAATACAAGACCACCTGCCCAGGGTGGCACCACCCACATCACTCAACAATCAAGAAAATACCCCACAGACATGGCCACAGGTCAATCCAATGGAGATAATTCCTCAATTGAGAGTCCCTCTACCCAGGTGTGTAAAGTTGAAAACTAAAGCTATCCAGCACACAAGCCTATAGCATGAGTATGTGTTACAGGGGGGATTTATTAGATTGGCTCACAGGATGGTGGCTGGGTCATCGGACAGTAGCCATCTGCATACTAGAGAGACTGAGAATCCAGTAGCTGCTCAGTCCACAAGGCTGAATGCCTCAACAGTCCCAACCTGGTGCCAAAAGCCCAGGGGATTCCCGAGAGCAACTGGTCTCCAGTCCATACTAGAAGGCCAAAGAAGCTGGGATCTGATGTGAGCAAAGGAGGGCAGCAGCAGCAATAGGGTAGATGTGTTCACCAACAAAAAGAGAAGCCTGAAAAAGACAGCATAGCTTCTCCCTCAGGCCTTTCCTTGTGTGGGCTGCCTCTGGAAGGTTCTGCCATTCTGGGGAGAGTCATCCTCAGTGAATCCTTTCAAGAAATATCCTCACAGGCCTGTCTCTTAGTTGATTTCCAGATCCAATCAGGTTGACAACCAAGATTAACTACCTCATCTGTGATGGCTAATCACAGCTATAGCATCTTGTCACCTGCCCCACCGTGTGTAGTACATACATTGGCGAGAAAATGAAAACCCCTATTTGAAAAGTCTCCAGCACAGTGTCACCTAACATACTTCTGAGTGACTTTGACCATGTGACTATATGGCAGTCAGAACCTTGCCCTGCACTGGTGGACCACAGACAGGAGGCCATGGGCCAGTGGATAGTGTTGTATGGGTGAGAAGATTTGCTGTGCCCTTCCCTTCTTTTAGTTTTAGCCATGTGACTTGAGCCACAAGCTAAGGTGTGAATATCAATCCCTCTTTCCTATCATCTGAGGTTCTGGGCTCCATAACATTGTGATCTTGCTGTTTCTGGTACCTCCAGCTTGTCACAGTGCACATTATGGACAGTTTGACAGTTTAAAGTGATAGCATAGAAAACTGTGTCTGGGATCCGTAGATTCCATGCTCACCTCAAACCCATGCCAACTGAATGTTCTGCATTTAGTTTTTACAATGTTCACTAATCTGAATGGGAAAAAAAAACAAGATCCCAAACAGCTATCTTGTCAGCTGGTTCCCATAATCCCCAAGTGGCTGACTGTTCAGATTCCATTAGCCTCTAATTGTCCACCACTCCAGTTGTTTTACCATGGGGGAACAGCACATATTCTCCATTTGCCTGTGCTCCTTCCCCTCCCTGGCCATGCTTCCTTAGCACCATGGCTTCACCTCACTCACAGGCTCCCCTCACTGTCACCCTGACACTTGTTCAGGCATATACTCCCTCAGCTGCTATGTGACAGGCACAGCTCTGATAGGAGGCCAAGGCAACCCTGGCTCTGCACTCAAGCCCAAGTCTCCGTCCTGGGCTTGCACTCACTAGCCACACGACTTCAGTTGTCTCACTTCTCTGATTCTCAGTTCCTGATCTGGAAAGGGAAAAAGAGAACCCAGGTCCCCTTACCCTTTCCCTGGCATGTACTAAGTAGCTGTTGACTGACTGCTGGCCTTCCTTTTTTGTATGATGCAGGAAGTGGGAGGGCGTGACTGGCAGGGGACTGAAAGGTTCACTCTCTGCCCTGTTCAGGGCTGGACTGCCCTGTCTCAGTACTCAGGCTCTGAGCCACTGTGCGTCACCTTACATGGTAAGAGAGGAAGCCTTGAGACGCAAGGACAGTCTCCAAAGACCCCTGCACCCTCCTGCTGCTGAAGTTCCTCTGCTGGTACCAGCTCATGCATGCAATGCACTCTGTACCTGTGCTCCTCAAGGAAGGTGGTTGACAGACTGGGATTTCTTGGTAGCATCTAATGGATGGGAAGGGCTGTGAGGGCCAAGGTACCCATGAGGCCATCCTAACTCACCCGGGGTGCAGAGGGAGGCAGTCAGAACTTCCTTTCTGTTCTAGCTGCAAAATGGACAGCCGGGGGTTGATTTCCCCCATGGTGCCTCAGGCCTAGCTAGTCTTCCCTTTCCTTTGGTGCCTCTGTCATCATTTTCCTGTAAGGCTCATCATTTCCAGCCCCCTGCCTCACTGGGGAAATGCAGTTATATGCTGATCAAGCAGCTGGAGCAGCTAGTTGAACAGACCTTTGACTTGATGTGTAGACATGGGCAGGCTTGCTCTCTGAACCTTGGTGGTCTGTGGTAGTGACTTTGAATCTGTCACAAAGGGACTTGGGTGACTAGGGCTTATCTGAGGCCAGCCCACAGTACTTCCCATCATGAGTATGCCCCAAACTAAACCATACCCAAGTCAACATAGTCCCAGTAAGCATTCTACCCGGCTGCACTTCACCCTCTTCTCAGTGGAGACCGTATGGGCTTCACATCTTGAAGAAGCTGGTAGAAGATAGAGCTTCTCTCAGAGCACTACACGTGTTCACACAAGTTGACAGAATAGTGGTATTGAGAAGCAGAGGAGGGGAGGGAGGACAGGGAGAGGTAGATACCAGATCCCAGGTGCTCGTCAGGTAGGTTCTGGCATGCACAGAAAGAGCCTCTGGGTAACACTGATACACTGAATATTTTAAAGTTGTAAGAAAGGAATCTGAATGTTTTCCACAAAGAAATGATAAATGTTGGGACTGGAGAGATGGCTCAGCAGTTAAGAACACTGGCTGCACCTTCAGAGGACTCAGTTTCATTTCCCAGCACCCACATGACTGCTAACACCTGTACGGTTCCAGGAGCCCCCTTTTGGCCTCTGTGGGCATTGCACACACAATACATTTATATACATGCAGGCAAAACACACATACACATAAAATTTAAATGAATCTTTTTTTTTTTTTTACAAAAGGAATGGTAAATGTTCCAGGAGATAGATAGGCTTAAACTGACCTAAGCAATATATGCATGTGTGAAAACATCACATAATAAACTAGGCATGGTGGTGCATTCCAGTAATCCCAGCACGCAAAGGGTAGAGGCAGAAGGATCAGGACTTCTAGGTCATCCTCAGCTACATAGCAAAATCAAGGCCAGCCTGGAGTATATGGGATCTTGTCTCAAAGCTGGGCATGGTGGTGTATGCCCTTAATCCCAGCACTCGGGAGGCAGAGGCAGGTGGATCTCTGCAAGTTCAAGGCTAGCCTCATCTACATAGTGAGTTCCAGGCCATCTGAGGCTATAGGAAGACCCTGTCTCAATAAGACCAAAAAAAAAGAAAAAAGATATCTTGTCTCAAAAAGAAAAGAAAGAAGGGACAAGGAGAGAGAGGGAAGAAAGCAGGGAGGGAGAACCAAAAAATAACAGCAAACGATGTAGTATGCCATAATGTATAATTATGTACAATTTTATGTTTTACGTATCAATTAAAATGAATTTAATTTTAAAAATATGCCCATAACTCCAGTCTTCATGGACCATCCCTATGCTTACCATAACTTGGTCTCCTAATAGGTTCAGGGACTCCAAGAACAAGCCCTCGTTCTAGGGGACCTGCAGGCACTCCTTACCTCTCCCAGCCCTTCGAGTGGAAGAAACAAATGGAGGTTGCCCCCACTGGAGTTCCTGCTTCCAAACAGTCATCTCAGGGTTACCAGCGAGGCTCTGTGTGGAAGTGTCCCACAGCCTGTCTCCCAAATGTGGGTAGACCTTAGCAACAAAGTGGTTTCTTTGTAGCAGAAAAGAATGGCTAGTTACCGCAGCACATGCTTAAACAGCAAGACTGTCGACAGTTAGAGTGACTTTAAAGACTAAGACCCTCAGAATTGACCACAGGTAGTGCCCATTCCTGTGCCCATTTCTGCTGCTGCCCAGCTTCTGGCTAAAGTATCATATCCCCAGGATACAGTTGGCTTCAGATTTAGATGTCACCTTAAAAGGATGACATGAGCGTACCCCTGTGATCCAAACCTGGGACTTGGAGGCAGGAGCATGAGGACTGCATGAGGCCCTGTCTCTAAAAGTGAACAAAGGATCAAATGATTTGGATTCACATCTTCAAGTGTGTCTGACTTTTTAAGAGCATTTTCTCATTTCTAATAACTCCCAATTTAATTTGCTTGAGCATAAATCTTTATGCCACTATGTTGAACTTCTTTTTACACCTTATAAAAGTCTTAGTGAGGAATAATATAATTTAAAGGTTCCTTGTTGGTTAAAAACAAAACAGCAACAGCAAACAACACCACAGATGTTTTGTTGTTGTTGGAGTGTGTGGGGGGGTGTTTGTTTTGAGACAGTGTCTCCCTATAGTCCCAGTCAGCCTAGAAGTTGCTAGGTAGACCAGGGTGGCTTCCACCTCACAGAGATCCGCCTACCTCTGCCTCTGTCTTCAGAGTGCTTGGGTTAAAGGTGTGTGCCACTGCAACCCCACAGGTTTGAATCAGGAAGGCCTTGGCATTCCTGTCTTGACTGTCATATATGGGCACTCTTGCCAGTTCAGTTTCATGATCTATGAAAATGGAGGGCTAATGGGATGGCAAGTTGTCTTACTCTGTGATGGCCGCCATAGCTGAGTACTACAGAAGCACATCCTCAATTCTGGAGGCTCAAGTTCAAGATCATGGCGTCTCCCTTGTTCCTTTACATGAATCCCCCCACCCCACCGTCTGGGTCAAATTCCTCTTCTATATTGGATTTTATGGTCACCCTAGTCACCTATTTTTACCTAATTGAAGAGACTCTCTGAAGAGGATCATAGCCTGCTGGGCCTGGTGACACACACCTTTAATCCAAGCACTTGGGGGGCAGGGGATCTCTGTGAGGTCAAGGCCAGCCTGGTCCAAAGAGAGGGTTCTAGTCCAGCTAGAGAGACATAGTGAGACTGTCTTCAAAAACAAACATTTAAAAAGTAGAGGGTCACAGCCTGAGTACTGAGTTAGGACTTGAGCACATGAAAGTCGGGACAAGTGTGTAGGCGTGACCTGCAGTCACTCCCTCAGCCTGTTGTTACAGGCAGCCCAGCACTACCACAGGCTTACCCTGCTGTGGATGAGGCCATCTCTCCCTCTGCCCCAGACACAGGATGTTTTAAATCTTAAAAATGAGTCCCCCTATGTCCCTGCTCCCCATTCTTGTTCTCTGCACCAGGCTTTTTGGGTCTGTGTGTAGGAATTTGCTCACCTGCTAGTTCTAAGCTCAGTCATTGCCTCGCTCTACAAAACCACCAGAACCAGGCAACTTCTCATGCAGCTACTTTTTCTCACCCTCTGTCTCTGGAAGCAGAGCTATGCTCTTGTCATATGTGAGCAAGTGTCCCTGAAGGTTTTATGTGATAGCCATGTAGCCCTGTCCTCTACTGCCCTCAACCCCACTTGTTCTGAGTTCACACATCATAGATGCAGTGTTCGGCCACCCCTGTGGTTGCCCAGCAGCAGCAGTTTGCTGCTGGGACTGTGGCCTATGCAGCTTGCTCTTTGGGCCTTTCCCATTCCCAGTCTGAGCATCTCTAGGGAAGCAGCTAGAGGAGCTGGTGTCTCTGGGCAACTGAGCAGCCTCCTGAATGCCTCTTTGCACTTGTTTTTCTCTTCCAGCTGCAGAGCCATTACTCCGTGATCAAAGCCTGGGTGCCCAAGCTGCCACAGCCACAGAGTGCAGCCTGAAGAGAAGCTCATCACCAACAGAGATGGAGGAAATGTGTGTGTGCGTGTGTGCAAAGGAAGGCATGGTGTGCCATTTGTGTGTGCATGCATCTGTTTACACTCTCATCCGGAATGTTGCCTGGTTTGGAGGAATCCCAACCACCAGTGCTGCTTCCAGACCTCCAGACATGAGGCTAGAAGCTGTAACAGTGACCTGCCCTTGAGAGCCCCCTTCCGCGTCCCAGTAGAACATAGTGGTAGGAACCTAGCTGGAATTTGGTTTCTGCCTCCCTAGATGTCTCTCCCTTTCAGCAGACTGAAGAGCTAAAGGACCACATTTTTTAGCTCTTGTCCAAAGCATGGGAGTCTACAGGTATCAGAGTCCTGCTGAGTTCTCACTTTCTGACCCTTGGCAGGGCAGACTGCCATAGATGATCCCTGTCCAGACTTAGGCCACTGGCCAGTCTTCTGATTTTCAAGTCCTATGCCACTGAGTCTACTAGACCCTTTCCTAGCTATCTTGGACTAGCACAAAACTGTAGACAGATCTGGAGAGTTTCATATGGAAGTGCACTAAGATACCCAGCTGGTGTGCATTGTGCCCAGTCCTATCTGTGGCAGCCCAGACAGCGGCTCTGCCTTTGTCAGACCTGGAAGCCAAGTGAGGAATAGACTCCTAGTCTGTTGTGCCTTCCCTAGCAGCTGGAGGCCAGTCTTGGCCTATCCAGGAGCTATGGAAGGGCCAGGGTCCAAGCTGGTCCCTCCACCAGGAGGAAACCAGATGCTGTGGTTTAAGGGCCCCTGACTTCTGTGGCCACACTCCAAGGTGCCACATGCTCAGTGAGAACTGCTGAAACCTAGCCAAGGAAGCTGGCCAGTCTTTGTTCTGCAGGTTTCCAGGGCCTACCCTGGACTGTTCAGTGCCCACTCTGCCATGTCAGCTCTCCAGCAGCTGGACTACAGGAACTCAGACAGAGGGACTAAGGGGTGGGGCTCTGCCTAGGCAGTTGGCAGAGATCAAATAGAGAGCACACCTGGCACACCATAACCTTCCCAGGGGCAGTGGGAAGTTTGGCCCAGAGAAGCCAAACCTTGCATTCCAGGAAGGTCTAACTCTCCTTCCCACTGCCAGGCAGTGGGAAGAAAGAAATCATCAAAAGAATTATGAAAAGAAGGACTGTGGTCAACAGAGCAAGTCTTCCTTCCACCCCGTGGCCTGCGTTTGAGCCACAGCATGTGTGCGTGCATGTGTGAGTGAGTGTGTGTATGTGTATACGTGTGTACAGCTGAAAGGCTAATTCCTGTTTGGATTTTTGTTCTCACATGTAACATGAAGCTGGCCTCCGGGCCTTTTCCTCTCTACCTCCCCTGTGACCTTTCCTAGCCTCAGAGTTATTACCTTCCTTGGCCTTGGCCTCACTGTCTGTCTTCAGACCAGAACCTTGGGGGTCAGGCTCTTGCCTCCTCCAGCTGTCCAACATGACAGGCTTCTTCCTGAGATGGGTTTTCTCAGCAGAGAGCTGCCTTTAGAGTCCACCTGTTGTTATATGTCCATCACCCTCACTAGAAACACCCTGTAATCGTGTGGGGAAACAGGGCATAGGTGTGTGTTTAGAACCCTGGGGTGTGGGCCTCCCTGTTCCTCAGCCCTAGCCAAGAGAAAAGAGCCAGGGAATTTTGCTGGAGGGATAGTGGAACCAGCCTGGAGAGCTGGTCTGAAAGATCAAAGGCTGAGGGCTGGGTCCAGTATTTATTTCACAGTACCTTCAGCTCTTGGGAAAGTACCCTTCCCTGCAGTTTTGATGATGGCTCTCCTCTGAAGGCACAGGTTCCCCTTCTCCGTTGTCCCTGGCATGCTGGCCCATTTCCAGGACAGCCTTCCAATGGAAAGGAGCAGTCCATTCCTCCAAGAGTTATGGGGTAGAGTTGCCTGGAGTCCCAAGGTGTCTTCATGCCTTCCTCCGCCTTGCCTGTGTGGCTCTGGGAGCTGCCACAGAGTAGTGTTCCATATTCTGCTCCTGGTACCCTGCAAGGGGGAAGAGATGGTCGCAGGCAAAATGCACTTTATAAAGATTTGCTATTGCTATGTAAGTGTGTTTCTCCCATGGTTTGTTTATGAATATTTACTTGTTTTATAAATGTCCAATCCTGTCTGAGTAAAGCTGTGTTTTGTGTTGTCAATCTTGTGGGAGCCCAGGGACCCAGGGCTGCTGAGGCTAGGCCTGAGTGAAGCTTCAAGCCAGGCCATCTTGGTTCTGCTGGAGCCAGAAGCCTTACTCCTCCTTAGAGGAGGCTGTGTGAGCTCCCACTGTACAGGCTGGCACCAGCCCCGGAGCTTGGTCAAAGTTGGGGTCAGTCAGCCAGAACAATACAGAGCATTCTGGGTCTGGGACGAAGTTCCTGAGTGCCACCTCACAGTGACCTGCCAGCCTGCTTAGATCTCCAGATTGGGACCAGTCTGTGGCCCAGTCCTGCTTCCATCCTTTATGACATATACTGGGAAAGTATTCATGCCCTCTAGGTGGCATAGTTAAGACACAGTCAAGCCTGAGACCTGGATGCTGACTGTTTCAGGCCACCTGGCCAGAGCGCTGTGCACATGGTTGTTCATGGTGGTTTAAGGGGTTCAGGCAAAACCGAAGGAAATCACAATCTGCTCTACAGAGGCAGAAAGGGGAGTCGCTTTAGGCAGAGCCGTGAATGAACTGAGTGCCTTTCATGGCTCTGCCTAAAGCTCCTGCTGGCCTCCCCTCTCTCTAGCCTTCCCCTCTCTACTTCAGACTTCCTGTTGGCCTCTCTCTCCTCCTGACCTCCCCTCCTGCTGACTTCCCCTCTTTCTGACCTCCCATCTCTCCTCTGACTTCCCATCTCCTGCTGACCTCCCCTCTGTCCTGATGGTCTCCTTTCCCAACTCCAGCCCTCCACCCCTAGCTTTTCATGATGCTTTTATTTGGCTGGGGAAGCTGAGATGTATTTGTTCTTAAGCAGAAGGTTCTGGAAGAGGGAGCTGTCCCAGATGTACACCCTGACCTCCTGGGGATGCTGCCTAGCTGAGACAAACACGCATTAGTCATGATAATTAGGCAGGAGGCAGGAGCCAGAACAGCAGATGGTTACTTGAGAGCCGAATGTGAAGAGGCCTGAGCCAAAAGAGCAGCAAAGTTAAAGTGACCACACCACTTCCCAACCCAGTAGCAGGGAGGGAGAGCAGCCTAAGTTCTGGGATGTTCTCTGGACTGGTACAGGGAGGTTGGCCACTGCAAGGTCGGTGCTTGGAGCTCCTTGGTGGGTACCACATGGAAAGGGGGCCCAGAGTGCCCTATTGTCAGTTGAGATTTGCAAACAGGACTCCACAGGCTGTACAGGCTGAAGAGAGTATGCCCACCAGCCCTGTGGAGTGTCTCCATAGTTCTCTCTGTGACCAGAGGAGTGGTGAGACTTGGAGGCTCTGACCCAGCAAAGCTGGAGCCCTGGTCTTGGCAGCTCACACTCTGAGAGAACCTAAGCTGGAACCAGGAGAAAAGCACAGCCAAACTTAGCAAGGGCAGAGAGAATGGAAACAACCAAAAGACTCCTAAGAAGCTGATCCTGGGGCAGGAGGAAAGGTCCCAGGGCTTAAGGTGGGAGAAGCCAGCTCAGGAGTGTCTGGGTGTGTAAGAGGGAGTGCTCTGCAGAAAGTAGAGTTGGAATGCACCGAGTGCTGATGAGCAGAGCTTGGGAGTTCACACTAATCCCAGTGCCTAGGAGAAGAGTCAAGAGGATTGCCCTGAATTCAGGGTCAGCCTGGGCTACATAGTGACTTCTAGACAAGCCTGGAAACAAAAGTGTTGGGAAATTCCTGGCTCAAGGAGCCTTCAAAGAGCTGAGAAGCCAAGTGCAGGGCTCAGTTCACTATGGGTAGCTGGGGTGAAGGAGGTCTTGTCAATCTTGACAGAAAAGGCCTCTAGGGAGAATTCTTGGGGAGAGGCTCTCAGGACAGGAGTGAGGTGAGAGCTGGGCCCCAAGGGCAGGAGTGGGTGACCCCAGCCCCCAGTCACAGACATTTCTATTTTCCTCACAACCATCATGGTGGGATATTGTCCCCATTTCACAGACGAAGATACCAAGCCTTAGAGCTGCCCACTCACTTAGTTCAGGACCCCACTGCCTGTTCACATGTAGAGGCAGACTTTGTGCCATCTAACTCCACATCTCACTGCCCTTGTAGTCCACTACCCTGCTTTCTCTGCTATCTTCCACAATCCCCCTTATCCTACCTTTGCTTTGGGGGGGGGCAAAGAACCCTGGCACTAGTTACCTGATAACCTGGATCTAGGTCCAGCTCTTGTATGGGCGGGCAAAGCCCACCCTGGCCACTGAGGGCTTTGCAGGCGCGGGGAGAGTCCCATGGGATTTGGGGGGAGGGGCGAACCTGGGGCCAAGGGGCCAGGGCTTCGGCACCTCGGAGAGGGGCGGGGC